GACATAGTTGGTGTCCTATAAAAGTAAGAGTGAAAGCCTCTGCAGCTGTAGTATTTCTGTAGCATATAGTTCTTGAGAAAGTTCCATCAAAAGTTCCATCTGGCCCCAAAAATCTAACAGTACTCTTAGTTAAAGATGCATTTGGTATATTTTCTATTTCTTGCTCAAGTCTTTAAGATTTTATGGGTGTTTTAGGCAGTTGTGACAAAGCTAAGTACCTTGGTAGCTACTAATGTAGTACTACTACTAATGCAGTACTAGCTATATTAGTATGCTATAGTTGATAGGTTTTGTATTTTATTTCAAATTTTGTTTACTTTGCTAGCTTGTCTTTTGATTAAGAAAACAAGCAACTCTTAGTCTTTTTTTCTTACTTTGTGTTTTATCACTTCTGCTTAAGTGTTACAGGTATTCCGCCTTCTCTTTGCAATACAGCTATTCCAGACTCTAGAGCAGGGACATTATCCGTTATGTAGGGATAAAGTGTTACTGAAGTCACAATTTGGTTTTTGTCCCTGGAAAGATAGCTGCTAATCAGGTATCATAAACATCTTTCCTGAATGCATTGAAGTCTAAGCAAATAAAAGCCTGAGTGACAAGATTAAGTGTGGTGTCAGGTAATAAGCACAAGGAAAATCCAACTAAAATTTCATTGGGTTTTCTCACGGTTTGGGTATAATACTTCCCCCACACTAGATCACAGTTAGTTGACCTTACATTTAGGTTGTGCCCATGCTGTAAATACACTCCTGTAGTAATGGTTCATAGATATTATTTTTAGAGTGTTGTACAATAGAGAATTGTGTTTGCTATCAAGTAGAGAGCCTAATTTCAGTAGTGAGCACATTTCTGTGCTAAGATTAGGAGTCCTTGAAGTTAAGAGAAAATGGCAGTGCTGCTTAAAGACACCTGGATCATGCGTTTGTTGCATAAAGCTTTGTAGTGAAAGTCCCATGCATCCAAATTTACTGTTGTAAAATGTGCCAAGTACACGGTCATTTTTCCCAAAACTTCACATACCGTAACTTGAACAAATTTCACTTTTGAAGAATTTAAAAATGTTTTCTGTTTTCATCCATTTGCCAGCCTTCACATCAGCCTCATATGAATGTTGTGTTATGGATTTTGAACTAATTAAACACGTGTGTGTCATCAGCTTACTGTATGAATTCTTAAGTGTATTAAGACTGATGGTGCTACTTCATATTTAAGGGCCCTGGACTAGTTTAGAAAGGCCTGTGTTCCTTTAAATACATCAGCTTAATGAACTTTAAGCTAAAGGTGCTCCACGGGGACTGTGGTGGATTTTCCTTCTAATTTTGCTGGTTTGAAAATAATTCAAGATACAGGCAAAGTCTTTTCTCTGCTTTCACTTTGCTGTTTTATATTCAGGGAGAGTGAGCAGGTGGAGGGGCTTAAGAACAGGGAGAGGGGGAAGCCTGGTAACCTGGGACTGTCCTCCCCACATGAAATTAATCTTACTATTAGAGAAACTCCTTCAGCAGCTGGCAAAACAGCAGGAACACGTCGATTCTGCTTCCTTGGTTACAGGGAATGATAGTGCACTTGACCTTCAGAGGAAGAGGGTCAGAGAGAGGGCATTTTAAAACAATACTGGCTGCTTTCTGTGATTGGAATCCTCAGTAATGGAGACTGGATGAAAATACCTGTGATCTGACTAAAAGTGATCTCGACATTTCTCCCGGATTGTTTTACCCTCAGAGGTTTGCTGAGGGAAAAATGTAAATAAGGCTGCAGGAAGAATTTGACGCTGTAAGTACTGGAGTCTCTACAGTGTACAGCTAGGGAGCGCCAGGAAGAAAACAGTACTAAGTCTATAAAAGCAGGTTATTGTTCCCCTGTCTATTAAAATAAGTCTATTTGATGTGGTTTTGTGTAGGGAAGTTAGAGGGGGCTGAGCTATATTTTACATCATAGATATTATTTTCTGACTATGTCTCAGTCACAGTGTTAGTGGTTACTTTTAAATGTTTGTTTGTTAAGCCTCTGTAAAATGTAGTGCGCTGAAGTTTTCTATGATATATGGCCTACTTTGTCTCTTTCCTCATCTTTTGAAGGTGAAATCTCATTTGAGACTCTTTCCAGTCTTAAAGAAGTCAAAGCGTGTTTCATTTTTTTAAAATCTATTTTAGAATTAGAGAAATGTACCATCATTGGCTTCAGGGGAGTTGGGTTTTGCATGTACAGCTTCCAAAGGAGTTGCTTTAAACATGAGGCAGGTTTTATGGTGTCATGTTTCTTCTGAACAACAGACTAGAATAGTCAATGTTACGCTTAATCCTGTAAGTAAACCTAATATAATGCTAAACGATACTGTCTTCCTGATATGAGTTCTTACAAGCCGTTTGTTTGCAGAATACTTTGGTTCAATTTATTTGGGAGTTTAATTAACAGTAGCTTAATTTTTCCTGTAGTACTTATATAAGCTGCCTGAAGTTAACCTTGTACATCTCTGATAAAACTTTATAGTGTTGCATATTCTTGGATTACTATCTGGTTTTTTTTTTCTTGGGTTTTTTTTTTCTTTCTTTTTAAAAATATTCTTACTTAAAAAATCAAATTTGGTGCAATTGACTGGGTAGGATCATAATAAAGCATCGACTATTTATCTGTTCTGATCCTTTGTAGGTGTGTGACAATGCTCACAATTTAGAAATTTATCTGTCAAAGAAAAGGACAGGGGTTTTTTTTTGTTACGTTTGTAAATTGTGAATTTCAAAAGATATGTTCCCCTTTTTACATTTGATTTATTTAAAACAGTTTTTGTTGTGCTGTCAACCAATGGCATGTGTATTGATTCTGGAAAATAAACTTGAGCTTTTTAGTACCAGTCAGAAATTCTTACTCCACTGTTCTTCTGCTGAGTATTAAGTAGGCAAGCCTGAAAAGAAGGTGAAGTTTTGCATTTTGGGACCCTACACTCTCCTGAGTATGTATGCATGTTAGTAAGGGTATAAAAATAAATATGTGCGCACTGAAGCATTTCTTGGTATTAGACAAATTTTTCTCCATCAGTGCACCATATCTTCTCAGCCACGAGAAGATTAAAATACTGTCTGTTTTCAGTTTAATAAGTGTATGTTCTTGAATATTTAAACACGAAAATGACAACAGCATACAATGGCAGATGGTCTGAAACTTACCCAACTTCATAGAGAGCTCACTGTTAGACAACATCAAGCCATGTCATGAACTTGTAAAATGCACCAAGAAAGCAGAGCTTTTGTAGTAAGTACAGCACGAATAAGCATATGTAACTTTCTTCTAAGTTACTCTATAAAAGTAGCAGAATGATTTAGCTTTCCCTCTATTGAAAACAAACAAACAAAAAGAGGATTATTTCTCTATACCTTGTTTTGGTTTTATTCAGTTAAGCTGAATTTTTCATGTGGTCAGGTTTCAAAGTAAGAATAGCAAAAATGCATGTACCAATAGTGGGAAAAAATACATGTAGATATCCACATCTGCACATACCTCTCTGTGTTAAAGATTAGTGTAACAGCTTTGGCTCATGTTTGTATCTGAAACAGTAATACTAAATAAGGTCCTTTTCATAAGCATCTGTATATCCTAAGCTTAATACAAAAGGGATTGTTTGGCTGTGGGGAGTGGCAAGCAGTACCTTTCTACCGGCCAGCTGACTGTAAGGACTAGAATAAAAGTGCTTCATTTATACTGCATTAACAATTATTAAGAAGGAACACTTAGTACTAATAGTTGCATCAATAAATCTGAGGATTAACAAGCCCCAAGTCCAAATATGCACAACTGTAGAATTATGTGTGTAAATGTACATTGCCAATGCCATATCCCATCTGTAAATAGAAGATAAAGGCTGTCAAGCCAATGTTATCTTGCATGTTTAATTTAACATTTAACAGTTTTGCTCTGAAAATAGTTATGCAAGGGGTGTTTTTTAAGCTTTTTCTAGGTATCAGAGCTAGATTTGCATTATAGTTTGGTGCTCTAGAAAGGTAAGGAATAGAACAAGAAACAATAGTATTCAGTTGTAGTGCCAAATATAATCTTGGTCGTGCTAGTGAAATCCTCACTAGAATAAAAAAAAATTAACCACATATACCTAGATACATGCTTAATATATTGATGATCTATTGGAGCACAGATTCCAGGAAAAATCTGCACCACTTTGAAGCAGAAAAACAGAAATTGGGGGACAATAAAAAGGGGGAGAGGATATGAGCACACTGAACAACTGGAATTCTGATTTATTCTACTGTCTCTAACACAGATATCCAGCCATCTTGACTTTAACTTTTTGCCTTAAAAATACTGGACAGTCAAAATTGTTCTTCTTGGAGAAAACAGTTTCATTTTTCAAGTGAACTCTATAGATACCACACTTTCAGAAGGCTTCATAGATGAAATAAGGTCAGAGCCATAAAGGCTAAAGGCTGGTTTGGTCAGATAGGAGTTCTGTGCACTCTAACAGTAGATTCCATATATCTCTTGAGCCATTCCTGAGGTTGAGGACATTTTTACTTAGGGGTGTAGAGAAAGCTTTTCCAAATTTGGGTTACCTGAAAATTAAAAAAGGTAGATTATAAAATACTTAAGAATTATTAAAAGGTGAAATATTTACCATTCTACATTATTGTCTATAGAGTGCATTTTGTTTTTACAGAAGCAAAAAATGAGACAAATATATAATTGAGAGTTGGAGAAAGTATTTCTGCATTTCAGTAAGCTGAAGGATCACATAGTAATTATCCATTGATTTATTTTTGGACGGGTGAGGGAGGTTTGTGTTTTTGGACATCTATCAATTCAGTCTGTTCCCCCTCAAAATCCAATATTCTGGTAATTCCTTGATGACAAATTCAAGTTCGTTTAATGACTGTAACGTTTCCAATAAATTTAGATTCCATTGATAGGGCGGGCCGTCTGATCTTTAATAAATATGTATTTTAAAAGCTTTCAGTACTGTAACAGTAAATTAAAATTCTGTATGTTACCTACAGGTGCAGACTGTTCAGACCTCAATATCTGAATCTCCAGTGATGACCAGCCCTTCCCAACGTATCCAGATAATTTCCACAGACTCCTCTGTAGCTTCACCACAACGCATTCAGGTAAAAATCCATTAAGTAAATAACTATTAACATCTGTTTTTTATCTCCTCTTCTCACTTAGGTTTATACAAAAGCATATTAAAGTCTAAGGAAGACTTCCTTACTTTTTGTGGGAACAGATCACTTCTAGTGCAAACTAACATTCTCTTCCTCCCTCAGCATGTATGTGGGCAGGACTAGTTGGCTGTATATAGTAATTGTATTGATGATGTAGTCATTGAGGAATATCGCAGAGGTTAAACTCAGCCTCAGTATACAAATCTCCTGAACTCTAGCCATAGCACATGGGCAGACGTCAGCAGAACAGCTGTGATCATCTCCAAGCGCATTCTTCTCTCTCTCTGTGCCATGTTTTGGAGCAAGTCGGGGAGCAGCCTGTCTGGGGTGAAGTTAGCCTTTGGGAATGCTGCGCAGTGGGTTATTGTTATGGATAGTATGAAGATACCATTCATGTATGAGGATGTAATGATATGTTATTAAGTATGAAAGTTACTAGAGTGTTGCAGTACTGCGACAGTGAGCATTTGCCCTCCGTGCGTTGTTGTGTGCAGTGCAGTCCCCCCGAGTGCTTCTGCTGCAGGTGGTGCTGCAGAGGATCTCCTGTTCCAGGGCATCTGGAACAGCTCTGGCAACTCAGCCTCCATCACAGGATGGGCTCTTCTGGGGGTATGTCTTGATCAGGGTGGGTGGGTAGGTATTGTCCCCATGAATAGCCCTGAAAACACTTTTTAAATGGTTTTGACGTTGTTATACTTTCTATACATGATACAATTTTTTCTGTAATGTTATTGTAGCATGTATAATGACATACATTAGTAGTTTTTCTAATGAACCTAAATATCACTCACTTCTTATCCAGCCTAATTTTTTTGTCTTACTTATTAGTGCTTATATCTGATCCATGAAAAATTAAAAAGCGTCTATGATTTTTCTTTATAGACATCACCAAGGAGATGTTTTTCAGTTATCAACAACATTTAGCTATGTATTTTATCTAAGATGTTATTCCTTAAAGTTATCAACAAAAGGTGGAATCAGGCAGCCTTATCGTTTCACATGTTGATTCCCAAGATTCTGTTATGATGGAAGGTTTCTATTTTTAATACAGTTGTCTGGTACCAGACTCTGTTTTGTCTGGTAACCCTATCAATATGTATCAATACTTCATTGCGGAGCATACCCTGCATATATACCTGTCATTCATCAGCTGCAGTCCTTAACATTACATTAATTTTGTTCTTGTTCTGTCTGGAATCCACTATGTCCAACTCCTTTTGAACAGTTTAATGTGATTACAAGATCTCCCCATATCTTTTTGTTGTTAACAATATCAGATTCACACTTTTCACAACCCTGCCTAGTATTTTCCATCTATGTGGTAGGTAGGTAGATACATATATATTATATACGTATATATTTGGTTTGATTTTATTGTTTTGTAATTATGTAGGTAGCTGCAGTAACTTTGCACCAGTGTCATAAATGTACAAATAGCAAAATAATAAATAACAAGAACAGTTAGCAGAGAGTGTCGTACAATTCTGAGACAGAATGAAAGGTTTTAAAATGTCAAGTATACTGTGGCTCACAAAATTCTTCAATGTGTTTTACAGATTGTGACAGATCAGCAAACAGGTCAAAAAATCCAAATAGTGACTGCAGTAGACTCGGCTGTGTCTCCGAAGCAACAGTTCATCTTAGCCAGTCCAGATGGAACTGGCGCAGGAAAGGTGATATTGGCAGCACCTGAGACACCTAATGCCAAACAGCTGATCTTTGCCACCACTGACAACATTGTGCCAGGCAGAATTCAGGTAAATATACTAATTGAGAGAGACCATAGATTTTTGGTTTTAAGTTTTTGATTTTTAGATTATTTAAGTCTATAATTGCTTTAAGACAAATTGCAGTCGTTTTCTAAAGATGTAACGACATGGATTAGACCATACTAATTGTAGGCTTCATTATTCAATCGTAAATCCTCCTGTCTTCACGTTCCTCGTGTATTGGACTCATCACCCCTTGTTGACTGTTTTCCTTAAAATTCTGAAGATGTAAGCAAATACTTAAGCTGGTGCTTGTGAGGATTGCCAGGACTTCAGATGGTCCATTCAAGATTCACGGATATACAGAGATACAACTCATCTGAGCAAGCTCACATTTGCAGTGCGGCTTCAAGACATTGCAGTAAAAGCTTGTTGGAGCAGAAGCTGTCCTCTGTTGTAGTTGTTTGTGGATTTTGAGCATAATCCAGACCAAGAGGAGCTTTGCAAACCAAATTATATAAACGATAATTTATCTCTAGTGAAATTTGAGGTTTCTTCCTAGCAGTCTTAAAAAAGAAAAAAAGTGCCTAGTCCCTATTGCTGCTGTTACAGTAGAGAATATATTATAGACAGAAGTATCATTCTTAAATATTTGAAAAATTTATTAATAGTAGTCTAACATTTATTTTTTTATGCTAAATGAGTTATCTGATGTTACAGAGGGGTAGGTTTTTTAGTTTTTCTGTGTTAAGTGGTATATTCTGAACAAAAGCTTTGGAATCCGAGGCCTTCAGAAGCTAAACTGTTTCTATAGTGGATCTCAGCTTCAGGCTGTCCCCTCTGAACCGTGTATCCCTAATAGCTAGAGAAAGGATGGACAGGAACAGCATCTGAAATACAAACTTCTCTGGCTAAAATATAGCAGCTGCTTGAGAGTAATTGCAAGAAGGGAAGAATACTGATGACTGCAGCAGTGAGGAAACTTATTTGTGTTTAAGCAAAACTATGAGATTTATTTGGAATTTGTTTTGGTATGACTGTTTCAACAATGTCAGTATTGCCACTAGAAACTCTTAACTTGCATTTTATACTACTTAATTTAATTCCACATGTCACACGCTTAAATTCAGCCACCTCTTCTCAGTTGATACACCAATCTTGTTCTGTAAAGCTCCTTACTTTCACATCAGAAGAAACTACTGGCTAATTCCCTCTTTTTGTTCTGGAATTTTGTTTTAGATAGTGACAGACTCTGCTTCAGTGGAACGTTTGCTGGGAAAAGCAGATGTTCAGCGGCCCCAGGTAGTAGAATATTGTGTAGTCTGTGGCGATAAAGCATCAGGTAAGGAAGCATAGAAAGCAGTATTAAAGAAACGTGATTGAAAGGATGACTGGGATGAAGGGAGGAGGTTTCACGTTTTTTAACTGATCTTAGCCATGCTGATGGGCCAAGCAATTGAGTCTAAAATGGAAAAAGGTAACATTATACTTTCTATCTGTACACACAGAATAGTTAAACTCTGCTTGGAAGACTATTAGTTTGTACTTAAACTGGAGTGTATGATGATTCGACGTGAAAGACGAAATAATGATTGAAAAGCTCCTGGTATGAAAGAGATTATTTCAAGCGTTTAGTCTGGCTCCTCACAGCTGTGGGCAACCATGCAATAAACATGCCTCCTAGAAAAGTCTGCCTGCTCCAGGAAAGCACTTCTTAGTGCTCTCTAACAAACTTAAATACATCCTGGTAGATTTTGATCTTTTACTATCCCAGAAAAAAGCAAGTAGAGATCAAGTGAATCTTCAGTGTTTCAGATCCATGCAATAACAAGGAGTCTGCAAGGTAATATTTATACATTAGACAAGAAAGTGGACTATGTTTTCATTCTACATAGAAGACTGTCTCTCTGTCTTGCTTTCTTTTATTTTTTTAAGTGTTTATGTAATTAAATAACAGAATTGATATGTATAGAAATTTTAAATTAAGATATCATTTCAAATTTTGTTGTAAAATTACTAATATTCTGAATTTACTTAAACTCTTAGCTAGTATGTTCTTTGTATTGTGTAATCTGTAACAGCAGATAGACCTGCATTTGTACTTGTCTAGAACGGGAACTACCGCTTCATAGGCCTCTCATTCAGAAATGGGCCTAACCTTCCTCTCTTCTCTCCACTCTCCCACCAAAAAGCCCTGACAATAGGTAAACAAGAAACATCCTGTAAGACTTTAACAATGATTTCATGGTCCAAAATGATGGTAAGAATACAAAGTAAAATTAAAGGGTGACTTGTACAATGTTTTACTTGCTTAAGACAAATATTTTTATGCTAAAATAAAGTACTGTCCATCTGATAACAATATATATGTTTCCTAGGTCGTCACTATGGTGCTGTCAGTTGTGAGGGATGCAAAGGTTTCTTTAAAAGGAGCGTGAGAAAGAATTTGACCTACAGTTGTCGTAGCAACCAGGACTGTATCATCAATAAACACCACCGGAATCGCTGCCAGTTTTGTAGGCTTAAGAAATGTCTAGAGATGGGCATGAAAATGGAATGTGAGTGTTAAGTACCCAGTGTGATACTGTGCCTACCAAATAATAAATATGTGGACTACGACTTTTTAGTGTGTTCTCTCTCTTTTGGTGTATGCTGCTTGAAAGAAATGGAACTTTTGGCAGCCAAAGCACCTACCTTACCTTCCTTCCTTCACCATTTCATGTCTGAGGTGCAGTAGTGATGTGTTTGGAACTATGTCTGGTACTACTGTAGTCTTTGAGGAGCCCACCTAGAATGTGTGTTACAAGCACAGTGTCGTTCATAATACAAAATATTTTAACATGGATGAACATAAATTTAATGTTCCGTGTTCAGAATCTGCTTTTCTTCTGGTTTATTTTTGCTGCTTTTTTAACCAGCGATAGAAAGTAGTTTATGTCCCCCATTTGTTTTTGGTTTTTTTCTCCTTAGATTTTTATATTGGTCCTTTGTGAGCATTGTATAATGAGGCCTTATATAAACTGTCATATTTTACACAATATATTTTCATGTTTGTACACAGTGCTTCCTACAATTCCACTGCTAGCATCCAAGCACTTTCAGTGTATTTTGTTTCCAGTGTATAGCACCTTTGCTTCTAAGTCTAGCACTTCGTGAAGCCTATTATCTGGTGGTTTTGTGATAAATTTATGGAGAATTTAAGATGAACCAAGAAATACTTTTCTTTTTCCACTCTGATCTAGACAGGATAAGTTCCAACCACAGAGTTCAAGGGAGGCAGATCTTGAAGCTGTAAATAGGGAGATCTCTGGAACTCCAGATCTGTTGTGATGATTGTTGTGCTTTGCACACACTGTGCTGAGTACAGAGGGAGATGTGTACAAGAGAAACGGCTGCGTTTCCAGAAGCTAAAACTTTCTTATTCCAGTATGAGTGGGGTATATGCTCACTGACTATATTGGGCATAGGGTCAGGTTCTGATTAATATGTATCTGTCAAGCCAACAAAAGGGATCTACCTACTTTTAAGCCCTTAAATTTTGCTGACAGTAACAATATTGGCAAAAATAAAATCAGGAACTAAATAACTCGCTGGTTAGACAGAGAGAGACATATTGATGTATTTTACTGTTATATTCAAAAGGGCTATAGAGGAGGGCTGAATTTTTTTGTTTGCTTGTTAATAATGTTAATTTTCTCAAGCAGTTCTCAAACTGTTTTATGATCAGCTGGTACAATGAATAGCACAGAAATAGTCTCCATTTCTACTATGCCTTACATTTGCAAAGCGTGAGAATTAATATGAGTGCCACACTTTAAAAAATTCTTTATTATCCTCATAGTCTTATTCATTGTATTGTCCTCTTTTTTAGGTGAAAAATCAATGCAGTCGAATGTTATGATGCCAAGCTATAGAGGAGCTTGTAAAGTTTAGTGTAAATTTTAGTTTAAACTTTTATTATAAAAATGCACTTTTTACTTCCTTTAAAATTAAAGTTACTGTTTCTTAGTATTCTTATTAAAAGACTTACCACACTTGTTTGGCATACTGGAGACTGAGCTTATTTTCTTCCAGTTATCAAGTAGAAATATTTTAAATTCTGAAAAGGTTAGTTTGGGAACACTGTTCCCTAAGTGGGTGGAATGAATGGATGTCAGTGAATTGCCTATCATATGGAGACTCGTCCTGCAGGGAATTAACATGCCTCTTTCACGTAACTCGCCTGTCTTGAGTTTTTTTGGGTTCGTTCTGGGTTTGCATTATTTTGAATGTATCACTGCATCCAACACTTAGGTATAGCTTTACTTCTAAAAAGAGGCAAACAAACCACAAACAAAACCAAAAAACCACCAAACAAACAAAAAAAATCCCCGATTTGAAAACACGTTCTGTAGGATGTTTATCTCATTAAATATCAGTGAAGTAGCAAGCCTTGATTCCAGTTCAGCAAAACTTAAAGCAAAAGATAAATCTGTGACTTTCTTATTTAAAATAATCATAGCTATAGTAAAATTGGAGCCTGTGTTTCTTCAGTCTTCGTAGTAAATTTCCAGTTCTGCGCTGAGCTGATACATGATTGTAACTGCACAAATGGAAGTCCTACTACTGTGAGAATTTCACTTTTTGTATGTTTTAGTTGTATTATTTCCTTTCAAATTTGCATGTTTGTTTCTTTATGTAGCGGTTCAAAGTGAAAGAAAGCCTTTTGATGTACAACGTGAAAAACCAACCAACTGTGCAGCTTCCACTGAAAAAATCTATATCAGAAAAGACCTACGAAGCCCTCTAATAGCAACTCCAACATTTGTGGCAGATAAAGATGGGACGCGGTGAGTACCTCAGTTCTACAGGTCTTGTTTAAGGTTATTTGAGCATATCTGCAGGCACACCTATACTCTTTTTTTCCCCTCCGCTCTAAAGAATTGGACAGTTGTTGTGGTTTGAGGCCAGACTGACCAGTGAAACGAAATGACAATTCAGAGATCATCTGTTTCCATTTCCAAGACTCACCTAGATTGTTCCACTTCTCATGAAAGGTTTTATGTCTGAGTACAGCTGAGTGGTGTCCAGTTCAGAGCTGGCTCTTGTCCAGCCAGGCAAAGCACAGGCAGGGCAAATATGATATTCAAGCAAAAGGCACGTAGGCTTATGCTGGGATGCATTGAGGTTAGCACTTCTCTGAAATCTAATTTGCAAATGGCAGACTTGGTCTTCCTTCTCCTGAAGGCAGCAGCAAAGGAGACTGCAGTGCCTGCTCATTCAGATCACAACAGTGGCAAAACAACAGCAACTTCCTTTAACTAAATGGAAGATATTCTGAGATGGTTCCCATGCTGTCAGTTGTCTCCATAGGCAGTAGGTGTGAAAATGCTTATCATAATAAGTAGAGGCAAGATTTGTCTTTTTCTAAATAGAATAAAAAGGAACTCTAGGTTAAATATCACACTTTTAAAACTGCAGGTCTACTTAGTTTATGAATGGATAATAGCTACCTAAAGATACTGGATCTCAATATTCAGATTCTTTGTATGTATATTTAAATTTGAGTTTGCAAGAGTTAGACAGGAATTTGAAAGTTAGATTGTTCAAAAGCACTATTCAGACACATTCGCTTCTTTGAGATTTCCTTGAGCTACACATCTCTTAGAGTCCTATAAAAAATATTATAGCCATTTAAGTGTGTGATTCTCTGCTATTTATGTAGGATTCAGATTTATAAAACGCATGATAATTTGCTGCCTGTGGACTTCACCATGTTAGCTGTCAGTCTCGGAGCCCTTAAACTATAAATTCCCTGTGGTCTGAACCTGTTGTGTGTGTATTTTTATTGGGTTATGGAGATTAGGAGCGTTGTATAAGGAACAAATAAACTTATCCTTGTTGACTGCAAAGAATTCCTACTCTCTCCCTAAATTAGATACAGGAAAGGGAAAGGAGGTTTGGTCAAAAAGTGACAGAAGTAAAGACAGCAGGGATTTCATGCAGGCCTTGGTTACATGACCGTTTATGGCTGTATTCTGGAATGTAAAATATATTTTTTTTGACGTAACTTTTTTTCTCCAGTGGTGTCCATTGCCTAACTTGGAATGCACAGTTACGCCCTCCTCCAAAGTCTAATGCGTAACTATAGAGCTATTAAGTGACTTCTGAGAGTAAGAGAAGATAGGATAAACCAACATACAAAGCAAATGAGAGGATATATATTTTATAAGCTGTCATTGCTTTTGCACAGGAAAGGAAAACATATTCTTTTATTCTGACATAGCTTGTTACGCATTCTTCTGTTTCATGTAAAATACTATTGACTGTCAGATGCCTTATGCTTTTGAACAGATCAGCAGGTCTTCTTGATCCGGGAATGCTTGTGAATATCCAGCAGCCTTTGATCAGGGACGATGGTACAGTCCTCCTAGCTGCTGACTCCAAGGTATTCTTTCAATTAAATTCTGAACATATGTATTTATTTGTTCAGATTATTTTAGCTATTTACATTGACACAAGTAATTCCTCCTCTTGAAAAGATAAGGTTGGCATAAGTCTGAAGGTCTTTACAAATGGAGATAATAAGCTGATAAAAAGTAACATGATTTTTTTTTCGTGGGCATATTTCTGCAAAAGGTCAGCCCCAGGAATTTCCTCACATGATGTGACAGATGGGGATAGGGTTGGTGATTACAAGAGGATTTAAAGATCATTGTGAGCCATTGTTCTTCCTGTAGGTGTTCAGGAGGAAGAAAAAGGTACATAAGGGAAAAAGAACAAAAATGGGAAAAATTTATGTGTGATACGTCACCTGTTATTTATATCTACTAATATAGGTCTTCCTTTTTAGGCTGAAACAAGCCAGGGTGCTTTAGGAACACTAGCAAATGTTGTAACATCTCTTGCTAATCTCAGTGAGTCTCTAAATAATGGAGATACTTCTGAAGTTCAACAAGAAGAGCAATCTGCAAGTGAGATTACGCGGTATGCCTTTATATTTGCTTCTTATTTAGCAGTTTGTATTCTGCGTGGTATATACTTACACTCATTCATTGGATTAATTTGGCATTGTGACACCACACACAGTAGAGATTGCTCCCTACTTTGAAATGCAATAACCCTTCTTTAGAAATCCAGGTTTGGCTGTTGTCCTCTTGTTGTGAAGGAATGGTGTCCTGCATTATAGATGCAGTGTTCTGAAGCTAGACCAGATTTTGTATTTGGTAAAATAATAAATTACTAGTTTGTGACCTTGAGAGGCTCTGAGAATAGCAACACTTGGTACTGTTTTATTTGAGAGGCTTGTTATATGGATGCACAATGCTCATGCCCTTACCCTGCTTTTCAGGGGTGCTGCGGTTAACCCAGCAGGCTGATGGACACCACACAGCCCTTTGCTCACTGCCCCCCAGCTGGGATGGGGGAGAGAATGGGGAAAAAAATGCCATAATACATGCTGATAATCTAAGATTAACAAACTTTCAAATTTTGTTTAATGTTTAGAAAGAGTTTGAAGTCTTTGTCTTTATTAATGAGAGAAATGGGAATTTTAAAGTTTCCAGCAGAGCTTCAGATTTTTATGGGTGGGGCTTTTGTTTGGAGATTTTTTGGGGGAGGGGTTTAGCAGTATAGTGAAATAAGAAAAATACTTGTCTATTGTCACTCAAGTAGAAGATTTTTAAGAGGATCTTAACATCAGGCTCTTAAGTCCTTTATTTAAACTTTTCAAGTGAGCGAATTGATATTGAAAAATACTCAACACTGCTACTTTGACTTATGTCAACTTCATATTCTTTCTTTAAAGCAGAAAAAAAATTCAACACCTCAACTTCTTGACAAAAATATCTGCAAAACAGCATTATATTATAATACTGCCCACTGGTATGAAACTGGAGCACAAAATTAATCTTTAAATCTAAGCTCTGTTATCATACAAAGGGAATTTACACTGCCTTATTTTGGCAGCGGCCCAGCTACAGCTTGAGTATATAGGAGTGCAGGGACCAGTCTCTCTTGTTACTGCCATGAGGTTTGTAAGGCTCTGTCTATACTGTGAGATCAGAAGTGTGTGGCCGTATCTCATTCTAAGGGAAAGGAAATGCAGGCATGTTGTCTAGAAGAGAATGACGTTATTCTCCACTATTCTGAGAAACTGGACACCAAGGATAAGGACTGCACGGTGTTCTCCAGGGTGCATCTGGTCTATAATCCATCCTCATGTAATCTGTTAAATGTTCCAAGGTGAGAAGGAGGAGATAGTGAATGGTTAAGTGCAAGCAGACCCCTTTACTAGTATTAGAGCAGGATTTACAATAGTAAAAAGTTTCCCCCCTTACAAGTGAGATCTTTTACCAACGATATATGGGCAGACCTATTCCTTCTCTTAATGTCCAAACAGAAGAGAAGGGCCAGGTTGTAATGAAAAGTCTGACCTTGTGCCTTGGCATAAACAGTTCCTGTATGTTACCTTGAAGTGGAAATGTTTTATAGCATTTAATTTGACAACTACTCTGATTTTAATTTTTTTTAAGATCTAAGGAAGCACTCTTTCATTGTTAATTACTTTTTTTTTTCCCAGGGCATTTGATACTTTGGCTAAAGCACTTAATACCACAGATGGTACAGCAGCTCATAACTTGGCAGATGGGATGGATCCTACAGGAGGAGGGAGTATTCATGTAATTAGTAGAGATCAGTCAACACCAATTATTGAAGTGGAAGGACCCCTACTTACAGATACACATGTCACATTTAAGGTATGTGCTTCTTTAAATGTCTTACTAAACAAACTAACACTTAAGACATAACCCAAAATTAGTTTACTGTGGTTTTTTATTCTTATTTTGGCAATATAATCTAGGATAACATCTGCTGTTACGAAGCTTCTAATAAGATTTTCACCTTTGGTGTGCGGTATCTAAAGAGAATAGGTGTTATTTCATAAGACCTTTTCGGAGACAAAAGAATCCTTTAAAATTTATTTCACTTTCCCCTCCTGTTGACAATCACTTTCCATATCATCCAGATAGTATGATGTCATGATTAATTCATTTATAATTCTAGATAGTGTAAAACTTGTATCTAAAAGGCTCCTTCATATAAGGAGAGGTTACAGAACCTTCTTACTGTTAAAGTGCTGAAAAAGGTCTTGCATTTTGGAGAGCCTTTCAGCTTCAATTGAATACAAATACACACATGTTGATAAATAGCATGCGAGAAACAATTAGAGTGTCCCTCTTGCTGTAATGAAATTGCCAAGAAATACAAAGATCATTACTGAAATAAGCAATACTTAATGTAGTCAAACTTTTACCATAACCTGCTTATTCCTATTTGTGGTGTTTTGTGATTGTAGAGCCCTGTTACATGACTTTTCCATTTTAGATATTTAGATTTTGTTTCTTTGTAAAAAGTATTAAAAGATCTTTTACATCACTGTGATGCTACCTAACACTCCACAGAGCAATGAAATCTATAGATTGAATTATGATTAAATAAATATTAAAACATTTTAAGAGGAAACATTTGAACTCTCTCCCACATCATTTCTTGTCTCCTATTCCCATTTTGCATTCCTTGCCAGTAGTAATGAGTTATTTAGTACAGTACTCCTTTGACAATTTTCGTTCACACAGTTACTTATGACAGAGTAGAATAATAGTTTCAATGTTTTTGCTGGTTATTTCATGGATAATAAAAATTGGTTTGTCTGAACTGCATATATTGTACTGTACTGTTATTTTTTGCAGCTGACGATGCCCAGCCCAATGCCGGAGTACCTTAATGTTCACTACATCTGTGAGTCAGCATCACGGCTACTTTTCCTCTCTATGCACTGGGCTAGGTCCATACCTGCATTTCAAGCTCTTGGGTAAATGCACATACTCTGATGAACAGTTTGCTTTCTAATGGATTTAAGCACTGATCTGAACACTTTTCAGCTATTTTGAATTTTTAAATTATGATATTGTTTATTTTTTAATGAGTTCTTTAAAATGTGTGAAGACTATGCAATATTCTCCTTTTTGAAGAATAAAATAGAAGATGGCTGAGGAGGGGATAACTACAATATCTGATGTTACTGCCGTTACAGAAGCTAAAGCCGAATCAAAAGCAAGCATTTAATTTGTAGAAATATGTCTTGGTAAAGAACTGGTGAGCACCATTTTACAGATAACCTGAAATGGTTTCCTGTAGTCAGCCTATCACTTCTTTTTGCTTTTGAAATCCTTGTAATATGCTAATATATGCCTCTTAGTAAAGTGGTTTGCAATACATTAATCCTTATTATTAATTGTGATAATTAATGTAATTACACATAGGACAATAGCAGCCTGATAGGAAAGCCACCTAGAGCTGTTGATTTTGTGTTGTTCGTAGGCAGGACTGTAACACCAGCCTGGTGCGCGCCTGCTGGAACGAGCTTTTCACCCTGGGCCTGGCACAGTGTGCCCAGGTCATGAGCCTGTCCACCATTCTGGCGGCTATCGTCAACCACCTCCAGAACAGCATTCAGGAAGGTAGGTTTCTGAGACATGCTTAGTCCTGTCAACACTATGGGGACGTTTGTATAGCATTTCTCACGAGGTGTTTCCTAACCTGTGGCAGAATAGTTTCCCAGGATCCAGGGGAAGGAGAACCTTATCTTGCATGATTTCCTTTTCTCTGGTGACCTACAGCTTCTTTGTACTGACCCCACAGAGATCTCTGTGGGATAGAAGTGTCTACAGAAGAAATGGGGGTAAGACTGGAGGACGTATTCTCCTGTCTTCTGCATCTGACTGGCAGTATAGAGAAAGACAAGTACATCCTCCAGTTGGTTGTGCTCACAGAGCTTTCCTCCTATCCAGATATATTATTTTTTTTTCTCTTAGAATAATGATGTCTTCTTCCAAAGCACATCAGAATTTTTTCCTTCTGGAACTTTCCTTGTCTTCACAGTGTAAAACTACAGCATTTGCCAAGTATAACAACAAGAATATTCTTGCAAGTATAGTGGTTTTGGATACTGTGCAGTAACAATTAATGTATTTTGAAGTACCCTCTGAAGCATTAAAAACAACCTGTTTTTCTTGACACTCTTAGGAAGATTGATGTAATTTTTAATTCAGTGTTGACCTGTTGATAATGATAACTATATCTAGAATGGATGATGATCTGTACGGTTGCTTTTTTTTTTTTCATTTTTTTCTTTCAGGATGTTCCCAATCAATATGATTGATTAGTGTCAGAATAACATTCCATTTTTCATAGGAGGAAAAACTCAATACTAGGAGCTTAAAAATGCAAATACAACCTGTTACATGAAAGCTAGCTTAAATTTAATGTGTGTTAAAAGTAGTTAGAGAATACTATTTGATACCCATTTGTTTAATGATTTTTGTGGTGCCTTTATTGTGCACACAGCAGAAACTGGAAAATGGGCTTTTACTGAGGAGAGTAAAACTTGATTGTGGAACTATAAAATATACAGAAGTGCATAATCTGAAAAAAATAGTATCCTTCAGTCCTAGTAAAGTACATTTAAAAAATCTACTCTACTAGCTTAATCATGATAAAGTAAATTAGAAATTTGATTCTTAAATGGATGGTATGCTTTCATAATGAATATGAGGGTGGGTTTTGTTGGGCATTTTTGGTAAATTAAGAGAGCCAGGACAGCCCTCAAAATACAACAAACCGATGCTCCTGTCCTGCACAGAGAGAGAAGCAAGAGTTTAAAAGACCAACAGGGAAACATGCACATTATATGTTCTGCACAGCATTTGGCTTTTAGTTTTATCTGTCGGAATAAATAGAGCTGTCTATTTCATCTGCACGCCTGGCAATGAGTTTGTGGAGGGGTAAGTGGTGGGGCTATTACAGCCTTAAGCTGACTCCACTTCTGTTCCCATGTCTCAAAAAAGAGAAAAATAAATTTGTTCTACAACTTGTACTTCCAGTCATACTGTGTTACCTGAGACTGGCCAAGAAAAGAGGATGATTTGTTTTAATGTGATTTGGTGATGATTTGTTTTATTTATCTGTCCTGCAAAGTTATATTGTGTATTATATCATTAAAATTCTAAACAAAGTGAAGACATTTCAGAGCTTTATGTAGGAAGCATATTAGTGACGAGCCTATTTGGAAACTCTGGAATTCAAGTTCACTTTTGCTGAGTGTTTCTGCACCGTTGTTTCCCACTTTGCATAGAAATGAGAACATTACATCATGTCTATGTTGATCTATTTTAAGTAACTAAAGACTCACATCATAATTCATGTATTTTAGAAATGCAGATTATGCTTTCATTCTTATTTCAAGACATTGTGCAAAAAATGTTTCTTCTGTTAAATCTTTTTATTGTGGTTTCAGAAAATATGTAAAATAATCATTATTAGGTTTAAGGCACACTGGTCTAAGCAAATATATGCACTGTTAGCTCCACAGGTAAAATACTTAAGTTATAATCCTATGAAATATTAGCATGAGAGATCACAACTAGAATAAAATGATTCTAATGTGTTTCTCAAGAATAAGTTTTATCCCTTGTGAATTAGCTAATGTCTGAACATTTTTAATAGTAATTATATATTCAAAGATTTGTTTTAATCTCTGAAGTTTTCATTCTAAGGTTTTCAGTCTGCAGATACACAATCAGAGAGAAGATACGTTTACCAAAACTGAAATCTCTCCCTAGCTGAGCAGCTAATGCCACTCAATTGTAACTTACCCACAAATAATACAAGATTTTATTTTTTTAAATCAACTTAAGAAATGTGATGTTTCAAATTACAGAAAAATCTGTGTACATGTATTTGAAGGAATTTATCCCCTCAGAAGGAAAAAAGGCTATTTACCACAGTAAATGGTGAATTTGCTTCTTTAAAGTACAGACAGAGGAAAAAGTAGCACTGTCACTAGTGCTCTTGTGTTCACTTCTGGAAAAGCTAACTCAGCACCGTTTGAACTGAAAATTGGGATTGCATAATAGCATTTGGTTTGTGTTTCTGTTCGTTCCCAGAATCACTGTAGCCATTTGTACAATATTTCACCATAATTAGAGAGTCTCTTCCCAGAGCAGTACATCACCGGAATAAGATTTGTGTTGCAGATTATGCTGTGCTGACAAAATTGTGCAAAACCGTTAACCGTCTGTTTCCTAGCCCTGTGTCTGACTCAGCTTTATAAATCTTCACTTCCATAATAATTCAGACCATCCTTATATGTTACCTGGCTTTAAGATAGCAAACGACACAAAAGAATTTAAAATGTTGCTTGTTTCTAAAAAGATATTGGTTAATATATCAGATGTACTTGAGCTCACATGAAATAGTAAGCTATATCTTTTTGTAGATAAACTTTCTGGAGACAGAATAAAGCAAGTCATGGAACACATCTGGAAACTTCAGGAGTTCTGTAACAGCATGGCCAAGCTTGATATTGATGGATATGAATATGCATACCTTAAAGCTATAGTCCTCTTTAGCCCTGGTAAGGAATTTAGTAACCATGTATTTTTAAATAATAAGTATTCACATGTTAATGTTTTAGCATTTTTTTTAAATGAGACTAGTGTCTTGACACGACACCGTTCTGTTAAGCTGCAGATAAAGTGATTGTTCCATAATGATTTATCACAAATAATATGTGTTTTAAAAATAACTTTGGAGCAACATTATCCATGTTATTTACAGGTCCAACGTATCAGGTATTCCTGTACACCCGCCTTAGAAAACTAGACTCTCAGTTGTCTTCAGCTGAGAATCCATGAGTAAGAAGTTACCTGGGATGTGTTTTGGCAATATTGGTGAAGTAAATGGCAGGAAGGATTAGAGGAGGTACATTCTCACAGTGACAAAAAGCAGTTGGCTTCAATATCAGTATTTTTAATACACTCGTAAGAGGAATTGCTGAAATATGAGCAGAACTACTACTGTATTTTATATGGAACTTCCACAAAATGTCCAAAACTAAATGTAAACAGGCTGTCTTTCATTTGTTACCAAATAAAAATGACAGCAGACACCTAAGGCATGATCAGGTGTTTATGAGATACGAGGATTTACTCAAAGAAGACACTTCAGATTTTCTGGAATGATAAGGTAAGCACCTTAAATGGGAAGTGACAGTCTCTTCAGCAAAAGTGGAGACATGCTTCTAGGACACAGAAGGTTTTATTTAAAACTGCTGACAGGCTGAGTGAAAGGGAAACTATTGCTCAGAAATGTAATTTATTTACTTTAATTCAAAGGTGTTTACCACTTTGAATTTAACAAAATGCAAAGAAAAGGAGTAACCTTGTTACCGAGGAGGTTGGGGTTGGTTTTTTTTTTTCATTGATATTATTTTTCTCTTTATAATAAAACTTACTTGAATTAGAAGGTATTTGTGTCCTGAAATTTGCTTTTAAAATTTTTTTGGCAGATTGTACTGTTAGGGATAGGTTTACTAGAGTTTTTATTCAAGTTGGAGGAGCAAGAAACTCTCCAAACTCAAGCTAGCTCTGTACTGTTTCAAGGGCAGAGCAGTTGGAACACAACACTGAAGATCTTTGGGCACAGTCAGATATGTGGTATTTTCTGGTGTTTTTTTTCTAATCACGTGACTGTCTTTGGAGAGCTGAACCAGCTGGAATTAAAATATGAGATGGCCTCGGGAAGGTCAAGAAATTGATCTGTTAAGAAAACAACCCTTGATAGTGCTCAGTCGGCACAGTTGGTCGATATCTCAGAGGCAAACGCATTCAAAAAAGTAAGGTTAGAAACATAAATTAGGAGGGTCAATGCCTGGTACATACCTACAGGCTTAACCTTTTCCCACTTTCTTTTGGATACACAACAGCTATAGAGAGAAAACTGAACAAGCTAATTCTGCAGCTGGGAAGCAAATGTTCAGTTGAGTGGTTTCCTTTATACAGCTAACACATTAAACATCACAATACAAGAAAAATATTTAAATGAAATAAAATGCGAGAGTCTTATAGCTACATATATTTCACAATGTATAGGGAAACAATCGACATACAGAAATGTTTTGTTTCTTTAGATCACCCTGGTCTGACCAGTTCAACCCAAATAGAAAAATTCCAGGAGAAGGCACAGATGGAATTGCAGGACTATGTACAAAAAACCTACCCAGAAGATACTTATAGGTATTTATTGTCTATAGTACCCAAAGTAATGTTGTGGGCCATAGCTGGCAAAAGTACAAAATAACATCGATGTAAAAATTTCCTTCTTGATACCTGTTCTTTTTTGACTATTGATGAGAGAGAACTAGAACGTTGTTCATCAAGCAGGTTTGTTTAAAGACAGGTAGAAGCAAGAATAGCTGTCTTCTTCCACGTAAATTAAATGAGTACTTTTTTTCTTTTAGTAGGTTTTTTTTCTTTAGTCTTTTTTTTTTTTTTTTTTTTTTTTTTTTTTAAAAAAAAAAAAAAAAAAAAAAAAAAAAAAAAAAAAAAAAAAAAAAAAAAGTTCTAGGAAAAATATTAAACCC